AAACAATTTGTCCCAGGAACTTTTTTTACCAGGATTTCTTTCCCCCAGACCTGTTGTTGTCAGGATTTCCAACGCAATCTGAAATACCGTGAAGATTAGGAAAATAGTCCGGTGATGTAGGACTGCCTGCTACTTTACAGTTCCCGCTGGATTTCATCCTCTGAATTGAAGCTTCATAAAGCCTGAACCTCGTCGTCGGTCCATCGGTCGTATTTTTTTTTATTCCATTGTTGATTCGTATAGCAAACAACTGTTTCTGCACGCACCGGAACAAATGGTGGTTGAAATAAAATGCTGCGTGGAGTCAACCAATCAAAATGCGGCGTGAACTCAACCAATCAGTATGTTCCACCCATGAAAGTTCCTGAATTTTGAAAAAGTACTACCTTGCAAGCAGGGACTTTCGGATGGGGAAATATTTTCCAGAACTTCATTTAGACCCTGGTTCCTGCGGTGGAAACACACGGAGTACGCGGCCGGCTATATATTATTTTTGTCTTAGTTTCACTTTCAAGGACCTTTAGTTTGTTTCTATCCAGTTTTCTTTTGCTTTTGTTCTAGTGCCCGCCAGTCATGCAGGTAAAGGTAAAGGTTTTAGGTTATTTTTAAATTATTAATTAGAATTTTACCTTTTTTATGATTTAAATAATTAATAGCTTTTCATTAAACTCACAAACCCCCTGCAGTTCCTTCACGAACCCCCGAATGTAATATTTAATGCACTTTGTGTTGTTGATGATAAAGAATGGAATTAATTTTCTTTCTCTTTGTATTTTGTATATTAATATGGTACAAGATTATCCTATTCAAATCAAAGTGATAAACAAGTTAGGTCAAAAATAATATAAAGTAATCGGATTAGATTACTTTAAACGTTTATTGTAATGGATTATTTACTACCTACAATTTTTGTCATGTAATTTGGAATCAGTAACTTAATTTGTATGTAATCTATCCAGCACGGTTTATGCTATCAAGTACAGCTTTAGGGGCTGCTTTCATGGGAATCTCATGAATAACTACTTAATCATGACAAACTGTGTTATTTCCAATACAAAATTAATATACTTTTTTTGTGTTAGATATATTCATGACCGACAATGTCTCACAAAAGCAAGATGGCCAAAGCTGTTTTCACCAGCTTGTTTTACAGAGCAAACAGAGCCAGACAGGAAATAGAAACTAATCATGTTAATTTCTGCTGCTTTTAAGATATAATCTTGTAACTTAATAATTACTCCATAATCTAATCACATCCAACCTCATTTCACTGACTCAACTATTTGTTCCCCCACCACATCTGTTAAAATGAAGTGGCAGCCCATGGATGTTTGAAGGACACTGCCTTCTACTGCCAACTTAACTTCACTCTCAAAAATAAAGGTTTTTTATTGCAATCGACGGTTCCATAAAGAACCTTAAACATCCATCGCACAAAAGACTCTTTATAGAGTAAAAAGGTTCTTCAGCATATTAAAACATTCTTTACACTAAACAAAAAGGGGGAAAAGGATTCTTTTAAGAACTGATCTCTGAAAGTTATCGCTAAAATGTTTGTTTTTTTAATGGCATCGCAGCAAAACTCCCTTTTTGAAACCTTTCTTTTTAAGAGTGTAAATAAATATAGTGCACCAAAAGTACATAAAAGAGAAAGCTTGCCAAGTTATAGTCACACATTTTATTTATTGCAGCATTATTAAAGAAATCACGTAGAAACGGTGGTCGAAAGCACTTATCAATATTAGATTTCAACTTTGAGGTTGTCCTGCTATAAGCCATTTAACTGTATAAAAGCAATAGATGGACAATTAAACAGCTATTTAATGCAATGATCTAAATGGAAGTCAAAGCGAATGAATCAAAAGTCACTGCTGGTTATGCATTTGGACATCCAGTCCTGGAAAAATGTGAAACATCGACGGATGAACGTCAACTCTTGATTACTCCTCAAATTAATCTTGCGAACCATGACTTTGTCTTTTAGACAGTGTTCTCCGATCTTGCAAAACAACATAAAGGGAAGAAAAATACATCTGAATACATCATTGGGCCAACTTTCAAGGCACATATAAGAGAGAGAGAGAGAGAGAGAGAGAGAGAGAGAGAGAGAGAGAGAGAGAGAGAGAGAGAGAGAGAGAGAGAGAGACATCTCGCTTACCGAATTCTGAAGGAGAAATCTGATGTTGTGCTGTAAGAGTCTAAGGGCAGTGCGAGATTCGACAGCGCCGTCTTGTTCAGTGATTTCTGCTGAAACTAATGTCTTCAGAAGCTCTTGAGCAATGAACTCTTTACAGCTGCACATCTGAAAGAAAACAGGCCAAGTCTTGTTCATATACAGTATATGATATCTTCAAATGTCTCTATAGGCCTGCTAAGCTACTCGAAACTCACCTCTCCGCTTTCAATATGCACATTCGGCATGTATACTGTGTTCATGCCCTTTAAAAGATGCAGAGAATTACAGTGTGGGTCTTTAAAAAGCGGTTTGTTTATAGTGTAAATGCAGAAATTTTAAGGGACAATTGACAATCTTTTTTAAGGGTGCGTCTCTCAATCAGTTTCCTAGTTCAGTAGTCAGGGCACTGATCAGGGAGTCGGCCATTTTAGGAGCTGTCTCAATCTTTTCCAGTGCACTGAAGCGTTCGCTTCCTATAAAGTCCCACAACGCACCGTGAAAACCAGACCTGTGGCCTATGAGTTTCTTTCTGTTGTTGAACACAAAAGAAGATATTTTGAAGAATGTTAGTAACCAGACAGTTGATGGACCCCATTGACTTCCACAGAAGAAAAAAATACTATGGAAGTCAATGGCTACCATCAACTCTCTGGTTACTAACATTCTTCAAAATATCTTCTTTTGTGTTCAACAGAAAAAAGAAACTCATACAGGTTTGGATTGACATTTTTGGGTTAACTATCCCTAATGGAAGTTCGGAAGCACGAAACATAAATCATGTGAGCCAACTCACTACACATAATGACACGCTGTAGATGTTTTTAAAATACAAATCATATTTCAGCATAAACATACATCGCTAGACGGGTAATGAACATAACATTTATCATTTATTTGCGGCTGAAATGTTTCACGTATACATATTTATCATGATGTCCTTTAAATAACATTAAAACATAATATAATAAAGATCTCAGTGCTGCTGTTGTTCATAAACACCAGTAGTGAGTGGTATAGTGGGGACATTGTCATACTGTCCTCACAGTGTCAGAATTAATGTACATGATATACTGGTTCACGGCCTAGAAAGCTAGGAGGCTGATTGAGACGCACCCTAAGTAAGATTGTCATGTTTATGTTCACTGAGCATGTTACTTACAAATGTGAAGAGATGTGCATAATCCATGAGGTCTCTGAGGTGGTAAAGTGCCTCACGTATCGTGTCATCCCCCAGAGCCATGTGCTGCAATGCTATAAGAAAAACAGCACAGTTGGAACAGTTTTTGGGGACCTGGGAGTGAGTGTGTGTGTGTCAATTAGTGAATTAGCATGCTAATTCATTCTAGAAACATGCTAGCAGCAACAATCCAAACATTTTTTTTTTTTTCTGGGAGACTGTATTGCCTTCAAAACCTTCAAAATTGAAACTACTTTAAACTTCAAACTACTTGCAATTGAACATCTTGAAACGGCTTCAAATGGAAAACCTTCAAACTTCAAGATTTTAAAACATCTTCACACTTTCTGGTCAGGCTTTCTGAAGCCAACATCAAAATTCGTAATGATACTGAATATTCAGCTTTGACAACACAGGAATAAGCTACATTTTAATATAGAAAACAGTTATTCTAAATTATAATGATATTTCACAATGTTGCTTTTTTTTTTTTATAAACTTAATTTTTCATTTAAATAGGGCAGGCCTAATCTTAATTCTTCCAAACTGTATATTCTTGATTTTATTATATCCTCACCCTCGTGACTCTCTTCAGCTGGATTCTCATTTGAGCCTCTTTTTTATTATTATTCAATGCTTAAGAAAAGAAAAGAAAAGACTCTTCTTTTTCATAATATAGCTGGTAAACCGAACATCCTTATCAAACAAAAGGAAAACACCACCACCAAGTGGACGAATGTGGTGACGACAACGACAATAAACTTTAAATGTGAAAATGTGCCTGCCGAATGAATGTGAATATAAACAAAATATGCAGGAAAATTCATAGTGTTTTTTAATTGTATATTTGTATAATATGCAATTGAGAATAATTAGCTAAAAGATTTTTATTTTTTTTGTCGTTTTGGGAAGCCAATATTATAAAATGTGACTCCACACATCAGAATATGTACTTTTCACCTGTTTCAGACGGTCAGTAAATCAATGTGAATGATATGATCCTACTTCGGAGTACTTACAGACAAGAAACAGCATGAGAGGGAAGATTTGAGAAATTGTGGGTGGAGGTTTGCAGGTCCGTGAGGCTTTGAAATCATTGAATACGCGAACACGATTCGGCCATTTCGCACATGCTTAAAGCTCTTCTTCATCCACATCTACAAACCAAACTTTGGTAGTGTTCATGTTGATACGGTTAAACTAACCGACAGTTTCCTCAGGAAACTTGCATCTCGTGACATGAGCATTTGATACGTTTTAAGAATGTGCTGCTAGTAAACCATACTAGTTCTGAAAGCAATTACAACTCATAATCATAATATGCTAACTAATAATCTTACAATGCTGTGTTCAAACAAGCACTACTTCAACAAATCCTGCTTTAATGTAGGATATAATATAAAATAAAATAAAAAAATTGACGTTTTAAATTTAGCAGTAGGAATTGTCCTTAAAAATCAAAACAGTGCAAAATTGTATTTATGAGAGAATAACATTTCTTTTTTTTCTCAATATTATTTAATTATATATACAAATTACAATTGCTTGTATCTTATGTATTCGTTATTAAATGAAAATAATCGCTGTTAACATATTTTTTATTATTATAAAATTGCATTGTGGGATATGTAGTTTCTAGATGATCCTCGTGACGCTGAGTTGAAGGCGGAAGCACGTCACTGCGCCGACGCGGGAAACACGCGACTGCCGAGACTGACTGCCTGCAGTCAAAACAAACTAGTACAGTTTACGTGGAGTTTACTGATTTATTTATTCTGAGTGAGTTATTTTCATAAAATGTAATGCTATTTTAGAGCCGTGTTAAAGTATTTATTGAATTTTTTGCTAGCCCAGCTGCACTCTAGTACGACTGTGTTTTAAAACCATATATATGCCTCTTGTCCAAGTAATTATTTGTTCTATCTAATCAACTTCACAGGCTTTCCTTAATATATGAATACATTGACAACATCACTTTCAAGTTCTGGTTATTAAAATGCGATTTTTTAATTGTGTGCTCTGATAATTAATTTGACTTTTATATCATTTCAAGGCTACAAGTCAAAGCACTGGTCCAAAATGTCAAAGATTGAAAAGATGAGTATTCTGGGAGTGAGGAGTTTTGGAGTTGAGGATAAAGACAAACAAGTGATCTCCTTCTTCAGCCCTCTCACGGTGCTTGTGGGACCTAATGGAGCTGGAAAAACGGTTTGTATATTGCTGTCGGTCATTATGTGTGTATAATTTAAATGCTGGTAATGAGAAGAGTATTTAGAAGAGATTTAAACATGGCTCCACACTAACATTTGACAGAGGTGGGGAGCTTTAAAGGGATAGTTCACCCAAAAAGGAAAATTATCCCATAATTTACTCACTCAAGCCATCCTAGGTGTATATGATTTTCTTCTTTCAGTCAAACACAATCGGAGTTATATTAAAAAATGTCCTGACCCTTCCAAGCTTTATAATGGGAGTTAATGGTACCTTGTTTTTGAAGCCCGAAAATATGCATCCATCCATCATAAAAGTAATCCATAAGGCTTCAGGATGATAATAAAGGCCTTCTCAATTATTAATTTTTTCCTTTGTATTCGGCTGTAACAGTATTCAAAAAGGACAATATATACTGCACATTTGTGGTCTGCTCTCGCAAATATATTTATGATATATCCCATGAATAATTCACTGGAATCCACTAAGAATTTCAGGGGGGTTTTTTCGCCCCAAATCCTCACGTGTCTTTCCAGTTTTGTTTTCACACGGATGCTTTAAAATGTAATTGTCTCCCCTTTTTACTTCTAATCCCTATTAGCAGTGTTTACTGAAGTATTTCTAAGGCAGGTAAAAATAATATTTATTGCCTGTCACAATGACGGAAATCGCTTTGGGTTTTTATCACTCAATGTTCCAGTTAATGAACATTTCAATATTTAACACATCCATAATATTGCTGTGGAAACGTAATTTGTTAAAGCTTTTACACTTAAATGTCCTTTCAATGTTCGATGGTTGAAGGGTGAGTAGAATTATGTCATCTCATTGTACCCAGTTTTTGATAATGTTTATAATTGCGTTCGTAGAGCGAACCTTTTGCTGATTGTTTACAGATGTTACTCCCATAATTCACACAAAGCGTCATAGGGGCGCAAGAAAAAAAAGGTGGATATGAACAAACAATTTCTTTTTATGAATTTCCAGACCATCATTGAGTGTCTCAAATACATCACTTCAGGAGACTTCCCACCAGGAAGTAAAGGAAACACCTTTGTCCACGATCCCAAAGTAGGTCCTTGACAGGAGTGATTCAAGTAAACAATATAAACTGTAATAGAAATGTTCTGATTTACAGGTTTTTTTTGCTTGTCTTATTCAACTTATTCAACTAGATAATGTTGGTCTGTTGTAGGATGCTCATGAAACGGATGTACGGGCACAGATCAGACTCCAGTTTAGAGATGTGAATGGCGATGCTGTGGCAGTCCAGAGGTCTATGCAAAGTACACAGAAGGGCAAGAAAACTGAGTTCAAAACCCTTGAGGGAGTCATTACCAGAATGAAGTAAGTTTTGTTTTTTCAAGTCAAGTCACCTTTATTTATATAGCACTTTTTACAATACAGATTGTTGAAAATAATGCAGCAAAGTTTGTTTCGGCTGTAGTGTACAGCAGCTCTGGTGTCATAAAATAGTGTCATTGTCAAGTTCAGTGTTGATTCATTTCCGTTATAAAAATCATTAGTTATTAATTTAGTTAATTTATATAAACAGCAGCTCTGGAGAAAACTGATGTCATCGTCCAGCTCAGTTCAGTTCTCATCTAATGGTGTCAATGCAAGCAGATCAATATTATCGTTCAATATTAAAGCTGCAGTCCGTAACTTTTTTGGGTTAAAAATGATCCAAAATACATATTTGAGAAAATACATAACCAGCCAGTGATCAAAACTCTCTGCTTGCCTTAGCTCGATTCAGAGCGGTAAGCTTGTAATAATGTTTTTAACTCCAGTGGTACTGGTGGATTTCAGCGGGAGATTCGAGCTTGTCTTTGCGTCATTACGTCACATCTGTACACATAAAGAAGAGTCTCGGCTAGTATAAGCTATATTGCGTGTGAGGATGTTGGGAGGTGGAGATTTATAGCCTTTTCTCACAGCACTTGATATAATTAAACTTATCAATTTGATGGCGGATCCAGAAAGGTTCAAACGACAATCACCAGTGACAACTAGAGACTCACCCGCTGTAAAATACAAAAGACTTCGTTCGGACTTCGAAGTGGCTACAGAAAAAAAGAGACTGCAACCGGACCCATGCGAAAACAAGGATACATATAGGAAGGACATTACATGTAGTCACGCAATGCTGACGTTGTTAACATTAACAAGTTGAGAACAAAGTATAATTTGCACGGTTTGGCGTGATATGATAAGCGATTTTTAGATTTAATCATCCTAAATTTCCTTTAGTTGGTCAGAACAAAAGTGAATGTTTCTTACTTGTTCAGAGGACATTTTCCAGTGAAAATTCTTATGTTGGTCATACTTCCAAAAAGAATAACCTGTGATTCTGAATAGGGCTGGGGGATATGGAGCATAAAATATATCTCGATGTACGATATATATCTCGATATCTTTACAGGAAAAATAACCCCCCAAAAACTACTGCAAAAACAAATATGCCAAATACCAGTCTTTTTTTTTTTTTATTGGAGTGCAAAGAGGTAGGCAGTTCATGTAGGAACAAAAATCCCTGTATACAAAAAATAATAATTCAACAACGGCAATGGGTAGGGTTGCCACCTGTCCCGGTTTTACCGGGATTGTCCTTTTTAATAACCTGTCCCGGGAAATTTATCCACTCTCCCGGGACACAGAATGTCCTGGTTTTCAAAAGGCTGCGTGAATATGTATGGTCAAACCGTGTAGCGCGCGCACAGCAGAGAGGGAGAGAGAGCGAGAGACTTTGCGTGTGTTTGCTAGTGTGCGTGTGTGCCTCAAGAAGTGCATGTAAGACAGCGCCACCATGTTGAATGAGACAACACGCGAGGGGAGGGGGAACAAAAGCAAGGAGGCGGGGGCGAGCACAGCACAGAGAAGGCAAACAAGCAAAGTGGCGAAATCAGAAATAAATATATCGATATATACGATATGTCAAAATCCATATCGTGTTTAAAAAATATCTCGATATATTTTAAATATCGAGATATCGCCCACCCCTAATTCTGAATGCCAGTCTCCACACCGGCGCGGCGACTGACAGCTGCACACTTTCCTCAGACATTGTGTTCATCAGCGCTGTGCCGTGCCGAGGTACAACTCACGTAAAGCTGATAATTGCGAGAATGACTGCAATTGCAGATTTCGAACAGAGATGGCGACAAAGAGGAAAAACTGCGGACTGCAGCTTTAAGTTGTCTTACTAATCTCCTATGCGCACCAAGGCTGTATTTATTTGAGCAAAACTACAGTAAAAATAGTAATACTGTAAAATATTATTTTCTATTTTAGTAAACGGCTCTAGACTGCAACCTTTGTTCCCGCCGCTGCGACATAATTATGTTAGGTGTCGCTCTGGTGCCACTACAAACTTGATGAGCGCTACCGTTTCTGTTGCGTATGAGAAATATTAAACGAAAAATGCGCCAAAAAGCAGAACGAAACAGCACTACACGTTTAGTAACCCAAACTGTAAAGTACATATTTATATTGAATTCTGTTATATTATTAATGTAGACATATGCTTCTTTATTACAGTATTACAGTAAATGTATTAAAGAAGTAATGGAATATAATAATATAGTTTTTTGTTTTTAAGATGTATGTATTTTTTGCTTTTGTATTTATACTAAATGTGCTATTGTAACAAATATCATATAAACCATATCGTTATTTTTGCATGTTAGTGAGGTGGTCTATGCGTGGGGTTACCTGATATATATATATATACCGTATATAAATGTTGTGTAACATTATAAATGTTTTTACTGTGAAAAACTTTTTAAATGGTATGTCTGTTTATTTATATGTGATTTAAAATGTTTAATTAATATAAATTTTTAATATAAATTAATTTTATTTTTGACATTTTGCTATTCATAACATTTACTTTTTTGTGTTTTTTTCTCTTGTGCATATTTTTATGAAACAACACAGTTTTTCCTTTGAATCTCCTTCATTTTATTGATTTATGTGAAGAGGTTGTAGTAGACTGTTGTTTTAAATGTCTTATGTTGGAATTCATGAGGTTTGCAACAAACAAAAAAAAGCCTTTTTTTATATGCCATTTTTTGCTCCCACTTGGCCCTTGAAAAGTGTACATTATGGCCCCTGTTTGAAGGACTCGTTTGCTTGTTTGATGTTTATGCGCCTTGTCCTCTCTTGATGTCAGGCACGGAGAGAAAGTGAGCCTGAGCTCTAAATGTGCTGAACTAGACCGTGAGATGATCTCATCCCTGGGCGTCTCCAAAGCTGTCATCAGCCACGTCATCTTCTGCCACCAAGAGGAGTCCAACTGGCCTCTCAGTGAAGGGAAAGCCCTCAAGCAGAAGTTTGATGAGATTTTCTCAGCCACAAGGTATTTTTATCTGGACAACGGCTTTGTCACTGAAGCTTCAGTCATTAAAAGTATTCTATTGTACTTATTGTATTCTATTGTACTATTCTATTGTACTTCTATTGTACGTATTATTGTTAGTTTTTTTTCCTGAGGTCCACATATGACTCTTTTGGTACAATCTGCATCATGTTTTAGTTTTTCATTTTACATCCTCCCTCTGAACCTTAGAAGTAGACGGTCCCCTTCACATGCTTAATGGGCAACAGCACTAAATGCCTTTTAATTTAATTTTATTTAATTAACTAATTAATGTCTAGTCATTTTTGTAGCAATAAGTGCGAAGGATGTTTTCAGTCAGTTTATGAGTTCATCAAGCCATTTTATCTTATATTGATTCTTGCTGCATAGATATATCGTCCTCATGACCGCATTCAAATTAAGTTTTAATCATTAAATTTATGGGTTTTTTTACATTATATGTTAAAAAATATATATATATCAGAACATTAAATGATATAGGCCTACAAGAAAACATCATCCCATTCCAAAGTCTTTTTAAGACTTTAATATTTCGTATATAATTATTTATTTTCCCCTTCATTTAATGCATATTTTTACCCTATAAATGACTGTTGTGTATTATCTACACAATATATGTTTTGTAAATACTGTAAATTCTCTACAATCATGCCAGAAAAGCTTTGACTCCATGGCTCTAATTCTGTAGGCCTACACCAGTAGATGGTGATGAATGAGTGTCTATTTAAACAGACTTTTTGTTGCCTATTGGCTTGTCCTGTTGTGTAATTTGCTCATATTAAGCTGGCATTGCAAATGAATGGCTGAAAATAACCAAAACTTTTTGCTTGAAGGTACATTAAGGTATTGGACACCCTGAAGACGTTGAGGCAGAAGCAGACCCAGACGGTTAATTCCTGCAGGCTGGAGCTCAAGTACCTAAAACAGAACAAAGATAAAGCCCTTGAGATTAGAGAGCTGCTGTCCACTAAAGAGGCTCAGCTGTCTTCCTCCAAAGAGAGCGTCCAACGCATCGAGAATCAGATTGACCCACTGGAGGTGAGACACCACGAGTTTGTGACAGCATCCGAAGGTCTAAACGCCATGGGTGTTTTCTGTGGGATTTTAGAATAGAGGTTTTCCTTTTTTGAGATCTGTGGCAGAGGCAGTAGATTGTTTTGGATTATCAATATTTTAAATTGTATTCATCAATACAGGCAGGTGTAGGGGTGGGCCGGTAGACACGATTAACCGGTACACATGCATTGATGTGCAGCAGTGGTCACGAAAACGTATCATTTGCATGCGTTTTCAAGCATTGCGGTTTGAAAAAAAAAGTGCTTGTAAACTAAAATATGCAGCGAAAGATAATTTCGCCATATGTGTGTGCTCTTTGAGAGACGATTCCTGAGCGCTGTCTGAGAGACATACATGAAGCTTGAAGTTATTTTTGCCGCTTTGTTGGCCTTGACCTGTTAAATATACAAACTTGTATGTCAAAATGCCTGTCTTAAACACAGTCATGATTTATGTCTTAAGTGAAAGTAAACAGCTGAGAAAGAAAACGTATGTGTAACAGTATATTGGGTCCAGGTATTCTTAAAGTGCCTTATATTCCTGCTGTCGGTCATTCATGTTAATCAAACAACAAAAGAGAGAAAATCTCTCACTGCTTTTGACTAAATCACTTCTGTACATTTAATAAGAAGAAATGTATGTTTAATTTCCCCATTGAAGACTATAGTGTGTTTTTTTATACATTTGATTACTTTATACAGTTTAAGCATTTCTTATTTATTTGTTGTTGTTTTTTGGTCATATTGCTTGGAAATTGGTTTCTTATTCTTATTTTATCGCTGACATGTCTTCACTGAGCTTGAGTTTTTTTAAGGCTAGTATTAGTTTTTTGTGATACTGACATTGGTGACAAGAATTATGACATTTCTATGGTATCAACATTTTTGATATCATAGCCTAATTGTGCCTACGGGCCGAACGGCAGTGCAGAGTACCCGGCCTTCTTGGGGTCTCTGGGAGGAGTGCTGGAAAGTGCTCCGACTGGGGACTCCGTCGTTCTACTGGGGGACTTCAACGCTCACGTGGGCAGCGACAGTGACACCTGGAGGGGCGTGATTGGGAGGAACGGCCCCCCCGACCTGAACCCGTGCGGTGTTCAGTTATTGGACTTCTGTGCTAGTTACAGTTTGTCCATAACGAACACCATGTTCAAGCATAAGGGTGTCCATCAGTGCACGTGGCACCAGGACACCCTAGGTCGTAGGTCGATGATCGACTTTGTGGTCGTTTCATCTGACCTGCGGCCGTATGTCTTGGACACTCGGGTGAAGAGAGGGGCGGAGCTGTCAACTGATCACCACCTGGTGGTGAGTTGGATCCGATGGCGGGGGAGGAAGCTGGACAGACACGGCAGACCCAAGCGTACTGTAAGGGTTTGCTGGGAACGTTTGACCGAATCTCCTGTCAGAGAGATCTTCAACTCCCACCTCCGGCAGAGCCACGACCGGATCCCGAGGGAGGCTGGAGATATTGAGTCAGAGTGGACCATGTTCTCCGCCTCCATTGTCGAAGCGTCTGCTCGGGGCTGTGGCCGGTGCCTGTCGAGGCGGCAATCCCCAAACCCGGTGGTGGACACCGGAAGTAAAGGATGCCGTCAAGCTGAAGAAGGAGTCCTATCGGGCCTGGTTGGCTTGTGGGACTCTTGAGGCAGCTGACAGGTACCGGCAGGCCAAGCGGACTGCAGCCCGGGTGGTTGTGGAGGCAAAAACTCGGGCCTGGGAGGAGTTCGGTGAGGCCATGGAGAAGGACTATCGGCTGGCCTCGAAGAGATTCTGGCAAACTGTCCGGCGCCTCAGGAGAGGGAAACAGTGCCCTACCAACGCTGTTTACAGTGGAGGTGGGCAGCTGTTGACCTCAACTGGGGATGTCGTCGGACGGTGGAAGGAATACTTCGAGGATCTCCTCAATCCCGCCGTCACGTCTTCTATTGAGGAAGCAGAGGCTGGGGGCTCAGAGGTGGACTCGTCCATCACCCTAGCTGAGGTCACCGAGGTAGTCAAGAAACTCCTCGGTGGCAAGGCACCGGGGGTGGATGAGATCCGCCCTGAGTACCTCAAGTCTCTGGATGTTGTGGGGCTGTCTTGGCTGACACGCCTCTGCAGCATCGCGTGGCGGTCGGGGACAGTGCCTCTGGGATGGCAGACCGGGGTGGTGGTCCCTCTTTTTAAGAAGGGGGACCGGAGGGTGTGTTCCAACTACAGGGGGATCACACTTCTCAGCCTCCCTGGGAAAGTCTATGCCAGGGTACTGGAGAGGAGAATACGGCCGATAGTGGAACCTCGGATTCAGGAGGAACAGTGCGGTTTTCGTCCAGGCCGTGGAACACTGGACCAGCTCTATACCCTCTACAGGGTGCTGGAGGGTTCATGGGAGTTTGCCCAACCAGTCCACATGTGCTTTGTGGATTTGGAGAAGGCATTCGACTGTGTCCCCCGAGGCGGCCTGTGGAGGGTGCTCCGGGAGTATGGGGTCCCGGGTCCTTTGCTAAGGGCTGTCCGGTCCCTGTATGACCGAAGCAGGAGCTTGGTTCGCATTGCCGGTAGTAAGTCAGACTTCTTCCCGGTGCATGTTGGACTCCGGCAGGGCTGCCCTTTGTCGCCGGTTCTGTTCATAATTTTTATGGACAGAATTTCTAGGCGCAGCCAGGGGCCGGAGGGTGTCAGGTTTGGGGACCACGCGATTTCGTCTCTGCTCTTTGCGGATGATGTTGTCGTGTTGGCCCCCTCACACCAGGACCTTCAGCATGCACTGGGACGGTTTGCAGCCGAGTGTGAAGCGGCTGGGATGAGAATCAGCGCCTCCAAATCCGAGGCCATGGTCCTCAGTCGGAAAAGGGCGGCTTGCTCACTTCAGGTTGGTTGAGAGATCCTTCCTCAAGTGGAGGAGTTTAAGTATCTTGCAGGGCTCTAGAGTGCGACCAAAATTTGTAAGGGTGCGACAAGAATTTTTCCTAGGTCGCACCAGTGCACCTAACGTTCTCGCATGATCGCAATCGCATCCGCTGCCTCTCCACAAACGAGTCTTATGTTCTCCTTGCACGCATGGTTGGATCATATCGTGGTCTAAACCAATCAGAGATAGAGATTGGGTGGGTCTTTGCCTCTGATTGGTTGTGGTTCAGATATTCCTGTAGGACTCAAATGCTCCGTGCAGTGTGATTGAAATAAATTGCGACCTGTCACCTGAGCACCAGAGAATCAGTTACGGCAATCAGCAGCATCAGCTAAATAAACGCAGGAAAACAGACGACGAAGAAACTTTTAAAAATGTAGGCTACTTGAACTAGGTAAAAAATATTGATTTCTCGATTCTCATTGATTTTTACGAACCGTTGGGCTATCAGTTGATGAATGAATGGAACATTGTAGCGAGCATCCCATCCAATAAATCGCAATAATCTTTGTGCTTTGTTACTATTGATATGAAACAAAGTCTCAGATTTCAAATTAGGTCCATTTTCTTACGAAATTAAAAAACATAAATAGTGTATTGACGCTGTGGCGTGAGATCACTCTGGCTCAGCTCAGCTCAAGAGAAGCAGCAGTGCGGAGCGCACATGATCTCCTCTTCCGCCTTAATAATACCAGTTACAGCGCGAAATAAACATGAACGAGCATCTGAAAGTGTGTTAAAAGATAGAGTACAACTTATCGAAATCCGTATCATGTCACATGGAATCGCTCAATCACTGTTTCAACCGTGGAAAGACGTCAGTAAAACGCTTGTAAACAATGTAATGTAACGCCACATTTACCTCAAAAAAAACATATCCAGTGCCCATAAACTCGTTAGCTAGCTAGAAAAATTAACTCTAGAGGAGCATTGTGCCTAATATATGCACCATATTACATATTCATTATAATTTTTTATGTTTTTCAATATTTAATGCATGTTGTTTGAAAAAAATCTGGCAAGTTTTTATGCAGCCACCATTTAAATGTTTATATTTCATTTAACTTTATTATTATAAAAAAAAGTGTAATTTAGGTGTTTGTGTACAAATCAGGTAATTTTTACCTTCAATATTATAGTAGGCTAATGAAGCATAGTGGGCTACAACTGACTCCCAGTTTACAGCATTAGTTGAGATCTGTTTTTTTTGAGAAAATTTGCCATGTAGCCTACTGTACCTGATATCCAATATAATCAATATTGAATCGAATTGTGAAATTTGTGTCAATATCCTGCCCTAACTTGAACAATGTAAAAACAGCACTTTAATTTTTTTTTTTTTTTTAAGATTTATATTTTTACATACAGTATAATTGTGCTTCAAATTAAAAAAAAACTACACCTTATTCTTGTTTAAAAGCATTTACATAATATACATGAATATATGGAACGTGATAAAAAGGTGACCTTGAAATTGTGGCGTTAAAGATTTGGCGAGACGAGGAAAAATTTGAGTGCACCTAAATTTTGTGCTGGTGCACCTAAATAAAAAAGTTAGGCGCACCAGTGCAACCAAGGCAAAAAGTTAGTCTGGAGCCCTGTCTTGGGGTTTTGTTCACGAGTGAGGGAAGGATGGAACGGGAGATTGACAGACGGATCGGTGCAGCTTCTGCAGTAATGCGGTCGATGTACCGGTCTGTTGTGGTGAAGAAAGAGCTGAGCCGTAAGGCAAAGCTCTCGATTTACCGAAAGGACAAGATCCCGGATACAGGCGGCCGAAATGAGCTTTCTCCGCAGGGTGGCTGGGCGATCCCTTAGAGATAGGGTGAGAAGCTCGGTCACTCGGGAGGAGCTCAGAGTAGAGCCGCTGCTCCTCCACATGGAGAGGGGTCAGCTGAGGTGGCTCGGGCATCTGTTCCGGATGCCTCCTGGACGCCTTCCCGGGGAGGTGTTCCGGGCACGTCCCACTGGGAGGAGACCCCTGGGAAGACCTAGGACACGCTGGAGGGACTGTCTCCCGGCTGGCCTGGGAACGCCTCGGTGTCCCCCCGGAAGAGCTGGAGGAAGTGTCTAGGGAGAGGGAAGTCTGGGCATCTCTGCTTAGACTGCTGCCCCCGCGACCCGGCCCCGGATAAGCGGAAGAAGATGGATGGATGGATGGATAGCCTAATTTAAAGCAAAATTATATATATGGTGATGTATATCGTTATCATGAAATAAAATTACTTATATCGAAATTTTTTTCATATTGTCCAACCCTATGATTGTAGTGCAGATTAGGGTCCGTTACAGCATCACAGTATTGTTGTCTTTGGCAGCAAATTCATCCAAAAATATGTTTTACGAGTATGTATTTACATAAACATGGAATAATGGGTATTTTTAAATAATCCAGTCATTTAAATTCTTTATTAATAAAAAGGTCATCAAGAAGATTATTATTATTATTTTTTGATACTTGTTATTTACTTACTTACTATATACCAAACTAAAAGATCAAATTTATCCTAAATTATTGATAAGTCTGACATCAGTGCAAAAACAAGAGCTTCACATTATGAATCAGTCGAGTTAAAAACAAAAGATAGATGAGCCCCACAGTAAAATAGTCTAAATGTGTACTTGTTGTGACTGGACATCAGTTGATTTTTAGCCCATACACTTATGCAGTCATGTTGTGTAAATTCACTAAACACACTTTCCCCATATTTTCAGAACCGACTGTATGACATAGACAACAGCCTCAGCAAAATAATGAAGTTGGATAATGACATCAAAGCTCTGGACAGCAGGAAGAAACAGATGGAGGATGATAACCGGGAACTAGAGGAAAAGATGGAGCAGGTAACAAAACGTTTTTTTTATTTTTTATTATCATCATCAGTCATCAGTTATGAAGCTTTCACTGCTTCTCAGTATTAGTCATAAATGCCAGATAATGATCATGCGAAAGCAGAGGAAGTGTTTTGCATAGAAAACATGTACCGGATGTTAAGTAATGGATGGGTTTGGTATATTTACTGCTGCTGTTTTTCATATGATGTTGGAATGAGGGGTTTGCGTTTGCTTGCTTATCTTTGTTATTTGTTTTATATTGTTTGAAAATAAAAGAGGTCCATCCACTACGTTTTCTTACTAAAAGCCATTACATTTTCTTCATTTACCTAACTGCACGTTCACACCGCCGCCGACTTGAGCTTCCAAAGCGGCCGGAAGTCATTCATTTTCAATGGAAGCTGGCTTTTCTCAGCTGCAAGGAGCGTCAAATCCATCGGCGTCGCGTTTTGAGCGTCAATCAGAAAGTTGAAAGAAGCTCAACTTTATGGTAATGAGCTGTGACGCGGTTCAGCGGCAAGCAGCGGCAAAACGCCAGCAACTAATCGGAATATAGACGTCCTTCGCGCTGGCTGATTCCGGAGAAACATACAATGTAAACTTTCGTTCCTACCAAAACATTAGTTCCGAGAAAATGGAAGAGAAGCTAATAAACGCCGTTGCTGGGTTTCCTACATGTTTCCTATCATTTATGACATGACGTTGTTTGCTAATATGGGGACCGCATGAGCGCAACTTTTATTTGAAATATTTACGAATGCTCGTTTTAAAGCGGGAATGCAATTCATTTGCTCACAGTGACACCGATTTGACCGCAAATAATAATAATAATAGCTAACTATTCTTTTTTTACCGACCAAATGTGACCAAAACGGTTATAAAAATGCTGTCATTATAAAAGGTTTCTATAAAAGGTATTGCTAGTTTTTTTCTGTTTGTTACATTTTATGTCGTGACACTTCTATTCTCCCTGCAACGTCAGAGCGTTCAAAGCGTCCAAAGCGTCAACAAGCTTCCCCGTACTTTTTGACAAGCGTCCTTGACAGGGCGGCCAGAGCTTCTTTGACGCTCAAGTCGGCGGCGGTGTGAACGTACAGTTAGTGTTCTTCTGGACTACTTCTCTTTATCCAAATAAACTTTTTATGTGTTAGTTCTCAACAGTGCTCCCATTTAAGTAACATTAGTGTTGATGCTTTGGTTCAGTGGTAGTCAAGTAAAGTCACCTTTATTTATATAGCGCTTTTTACAATACAGATTGTTTCAAAGCAGCTTTACAGAGATAACAGGAAAATAATGCAACAAAGTTTGTTTCCAGAAGAAAATAGCGTCACAGTCCAGCTTAAGTTAGTTCAGTGATGTTTCATTTTTGTAGTAAAAAAAAAAAAAGTTATTAATTTAGTTAATTTATATATATATATATATATATATATATATATAGCAGCTCTGGAGAAAACAGTGATGTCATCGTCCAGCTCACTTCAGTTCTCATATAATGTTGTCAATGCAGGCAGATCGATTATATTGTTGAATATTAAATTAAATGTCCCCAAGTGACAGATTTGAGTTCAACCTGAGTCATGTCTCGATTTATTCCTCCCCTTTCTCTCCCCAAAGGTTTCTTCTTAAATTGTAATAAAACAGAGAGACAACCATCAATATTAAAAATGTCTGGAGAAATGTAGAGTTGTCAGCATTACAATGAAAACTAATGCCATGTTTTGTAAACATATCACCTAAAGGGAGCATGTATGGACAGAAAAACGAAGGGCCTAAGACAGAGCCTTGCAGCACACCATTTGTTCATTCCTTGGGGCGCCTTGACTCTGTTGTGCTGTGTTTTTAGGTGTTTCAGGGCTCAGATGATCAGCTGCAGGACATGTATCAGAACCACCAGCAGACTGTCAAAGAGAAGGAAAGGAGACTTACGGAGTGCCAGCGCGAGTTTGAACGGGCCGGCCGAGAGTGCCAGAGGATGAACCGCATCAAATCTGACCTGCTAGTTGAGCAAGGTATAGTTATTCATTTATTGTTCTGTGGTGGTGGTGGAAATGTGTTCTCTATATATGATCAAATAGTTGTTTCGTTGATTGTAGTATTTAAAAGAGTCAATAGAAGAACAGTGACGTCCTTTTTTTGTTTACATCTTAGCCTGATTTGCTACTTACTTGCTATTGTAAGTCACAGGAAGGTGGTATTGGGTAGATTCACTAGGGTTGCAACAAGCAGCTATTTTGATCTGATCATTACTTCTATGATTAAGTGGGGGAAAAAAATATTTAGCCCCATTAAATGACGCAAGCACTTGGTGTGGCAACCTGCAGGCCACATAAAAACATGATCCTGACCTTTTTAGAAGTTCTTTTATAAAGTACTCTCGTCTCGAGCTTTGGGCAACTTGGCGTTAAACACATTTTTGCTTTTATCTCACTTTGTGGCCTTCATCATTTATCCTCTTTTTAGATTGAAAATACTACTACTGCAAAGTTACTTCACTTATGAAATGTAGATTTTATAGATTAGTTATCGCTGTCCTAAAGTACACTATACTTATAGATATGCTCTAAAAACTAGTACTTTCACATCGAGTGATTTTGCTCAAAAATGCATTTTTAGCAGGAAAAATGTTTATTCTTTCTCAGAGCTGTTCATCGTCATTGTTTCTGTTCATTTGAAGGCCGTCTGCAGTTGGAGGCAGACAGACACACACAGAACATTAAAAAGAGGGACACCCAGGTGAAGAGTTTAGCGTCTTCCCTGGAGTTGGAGGGCTATGATCGGACGCCTCTTAACGAAAGACAACTCCAGAGCTTCCACAGACAAGTCAAAGAGAGACTGGACCAGGACACTGACGCCCTCAACCAAACTATGGTAGATAATTGAACTGCAGGACATAATTTACCACCCAGTTCACGCTCTTCTGTTATATATACAGTATATATATATCAGGGTTTCCGTTGTCCGGTGATTACCGGACATTGGCCGGGAAAAAAATGAAATGTCCGACAAAATTAAATCTCTCTGGTCAAATTGTCCGATTAAAATTGCGTAATAATCCCGCCCCCCTAACACAATATGAATTTGAGAATAAGCCTAAAATGTATAAAGCAAAAATACACCGACCTTTGGCTATTTTATAAAGGAACAGGCTCTACCGTTTGAACGTTATTAAACAACATGAACGATTGAGTGAGACGTTTCAAATATGGCCAGGCCGGGCCCAGGCAGGCTAGCCTTAAAGGAACACTCCACCGTTTTTTTTTTAAATTGGGGTTATTCACGGTCTCCCCTACATTTAGATAGGTGGGAAAATGCATGTTTGGAAGCACTGCTACTTGGGCGCAGAGATATCACGCAACACCTGAAATAAAGCTTGCCACAAATAACCGGCGAAAGTAATGATTATGCATGAAACGTTTGAATTATTGATAAAGTTGATAAATTGATAAAGTTGACGATGCAGACTCGCCATCTTCACAGTAGTGAACGCGCCTATAGAGAGAAGTGTGCACGCGCCGGCGCCTCTGTGTCCTGATTATATTGTCCACTATATTTGCTTCTTATTTATTAATCCAGGCAAATTTGTTGATGAAACATTGATTAAAATGAAGATACAATTTATACAAAACGAAATAAACTTTAAAGAAAGGCTTTCTACAAAACACAATTTAGAAGATACAATTTATACAAAAATAATATTCGAAGATCGCTGGGTTGATTATTATTCGAAAATCGCACGCACACATGCATTAGGCTACACACCAGAGCATGTGAGCAAAGCGGAGCGGTGTGACGCTTAATATAAGTTAAAAAACTGAAACATATGTTTCATATTTATAAATAATATAATGTTATTATTTTTTTATTTCATCTATGTTGATTATATGAAAAGGGAACCACATGAGATGAGTAAGATAGGATCATAAGATGACCAATATATCGGAAAACATTTGGAATGGGTCAGATTTTGACCACTTATTTAGTTTTGTTTTGTAGAAAGCCTTTCTTTAAAGTTTATTTCGTTTTGTATAAATTGTATCTTCATTTTAATCAATGTTTCATCAACAAATTTGCCTGGATTAATAAATAAGAAGCAAATATAGTGGACAATATAATCAGGACACGGAGGCGCCGGCGCGTGCACACTCATATGAAGTGTGCATTTCCCTCTCTAGGCGCGTTCACTACTGCGAAGATGTCGAGTCTGCATCGTCAACTTGATCAATTTATCAACAATTCAGATGTTTCATGCATAATCATTACTTTCGCCGGTTCTTTGTGGCAAGCTTTATTTCAGGTGTTGCGTGATATCTCTGCGCCCAAGTAGCAGTGTGCTTCGCCTGTGTATAGTGAAGATTGCGCAACTCGCGCAGCGCGTCGTCCATGACACTGATAGCAGCGGACACGAGCACTCAGCTTGATTTAAAAAAACAACTGATTTTAGCGCTAGATCTCTTATTTAATAGCGAGCTAAATGAATGATCTGCTAGTTAACTGGAGATGTTTTATTTATTTGTATTAGGTACATCCGTGCCTTAATGTTTCAAAAAGTGAATGTGTGTGAAACCATAGTAAAAAACAATTGGTGTTGATTGACGCCAATCGGACGTTGGTGTGTTTTTCCGTCTATTTGAAAGTTAGGCTAATAATAACATGTTGCATTCTATACGGCCTAATTATGTCATTTTTAAAGTTACGTAGCCTGCCTCCAGTTTTCCTCAACTTGACTAATTAAGAGGCGATATTTGACCGGCATATCATCAAAATGTCCGTTAAACGAAACCTCTGCCGGTCACTTTGACCGGCACCATTTTTTTCTAGCGGAAACTCTGAGATATATATATATAGATATAGATAGATATAGATATATTGCATTGCCAATTTTTTTACACTTTATGAAGTGTTTTATCCAATAAAGAGACATATGTAATGTTTGGGTAACACTTTAATTATATTATTTTTGTATTATTTAATGCTTAACAGAAAATTATAGAATAAAATTCATTCAGATATGTATAAATATCCTTATCCTGAAAAGTTCAATATTAGTATTGTAACGTGTTGCCATTTTTTAATAATAACTTCTTGTTTTCAGCGAGATATGCAGGAGAAAGAGGCACAGAAGCAGCAAAGCATCGATGATCTCCGTGATAAGAAGACCGGTCTAGAGAGAACCGTTGAGCTGAAGAGAGACATACAGGCCAAGAAACAACAGGAACTGAAGAACATCAAGTCTGATCTCCAAAAACTGGAGGGCTCCTCTAGCAGACTGCAGGAGCTGGACACCGAGCTTCAGAAAGCGGTTAGATCCGCACTACACCAATAAACTTGCCTTGAGCATTAGGCCCAAAGTATACTTGGTTTTTTAACGCGTGCGTTAGCGTATGCGTACAGTCGAACGCGTAGCCTTTCAAAAGTGTACTCCATTTGATAGCGTGCACTAGTGCTGCACGATTAATCGAATCGCAATCGTAATCGGGATGTCAAACCTATGCGATTATATAACGCAAAATGCCGCGATTTTATATGAACACAGCATCTCTTCTTTTTTGTCATCCTTTGACTAGTGTTACATGATCCCGCTCTTATTCGTGCAAATGCCTTAAAACCATTTTGCACGACAAGAAGTCAAAAGAGAGCGCGCTGCCTGTGAATGTCCTGAATGTGACTCACAGAAAAACGCGCGCCAGTATAATGCGCATGCACAGACCGCGTGCCAGAATACAGTTCTCTTTCGAGCTTGAACGAACAATAACACACACAATTATGCCAAAATGTCGTTTTGTCGTTTATCTTCATAACATAAGAGCAGTCTTATGATGGACAAAAAGAGTTGTGCTTGTGAGAGAATGAGGCGCGTGAGAGATCCGCGTCTCGGCAACGGCTGCTCTTAAAGGGCCAGCAGCGAATAAAGCGTTCCGTCAGTAAAGTTAATCAAAGAATAAAGGGAACAGAAAATTACTCACTGCTCTTGACTAAAGAAGTTTTGTGGGTTTAATAAGGATTAGTCTATATATTTAATTTATAATTCATGCAGCGCAGACTGTTTGATAACTTTATTCAATTTCTGTATATAAATCTGTATATAAATCCTCAATCCTACCTGTTAAGACAGGAAGGGCACAGGTAAATATGGCATTTATTATGGGTTTATGTGAGGATTGTTTGAAGTTCACTTAATTTAAAAGCTGTTATTATTATTTTTTAAGCCTAATAAATATTTTAAAAGTTGATAGCTTTCAATTGTATTGATGGAATCACTGTAAAGTTGGATGGCTATAATTAACGTTTAAAATGTGGGGGGTGTCGTCATTTTTATCCAGACATCAATGGTTTATTGATCATTATAGGTGTTATCAATCATTTAGTTGTTGTTGCTAGTTTGAGTTAAGAAATACACATTAATACACAGAATGATCACTAATCTGTGTGTGCATTTTACTTTAGAACCAAGCAAGTTGACTCATGAAGCCATTTGTTTATTATATCGCAATCGCAATATTGACCTCATTAATCGCAATATGACATTTTCCCCAAATCGTGCAGCCCTAGCGTGCACAAACGCAGACGGTCGACACGTGCGCTCTAGAAAGTTTCATCTATGTCCAGTGTTTGCGATGTTTTTCTCCAGAAGTTATGACTGATAAAAATGTCTTCTTCTAAAATAAAGTTGCGGCTATCTTACAGTATAACACCCTCACACAACCGCTTGTCAATGCATGTCCGCTGTTGTTGCAGGCTTCGGTATTTCGGTACAAAGTCAGTCCGCATGTGCGACCTGACAGACCGCATCTGTCAATATTCTGTTGGTTTCCTCAACTGAATCTTAAACTAAAATTACTATGGGTCAGATTTACAAACGGCTTGCACCAGCTCAGTCCCTTTTTTGGCGTTAAAAAATACTTTATATTTTTTTATTTGATTTACTGAAGACACACAGTGAAAAAATAGCGATGAAAAGACAGACAGTCATTTTTGCGGCTGACCTTATTGCATATGCATTAATAGGAGTTTCCCTTTCAGATGTAACATTTATAGGACTGAATTTAAATAAATTATACAATGTAATCTACTAAGATTTGCGGTTATCAATTTACTGGTGTTTGCCACATTATTTAACGGCCACAAAAAGCAAGTCTTGTCCATTTTGTGCTTGACATGTCTGCCACTCCCATCTGCGCTTTTATGGGATTACAGTCTCACGCTAATTTGCCCTGTTTAGTAAATCTGGCCCAAAATCTGAAAATAAATTGTAGAAAGAAAGCAATACTAACACTGCAACTAACAAATCTACCATCATCGGCACCCTGCATTGCTTGTGTATGTGTTTTTCTTAATGTACGTGTGTTTATAGGAGCGTGAGCTTGAAAATGCCACGCAGGCCTGCACTGTGGACAGTCTGAAGGCAGAGGTCATCGAACTACAGAGGGAGAAAACTGAACTGGATCAGGCCCAGCGCAGACTGGACCAGGAGATGGAACTGCTCAACACACACACCAGGGCACATGCAGAGATGGACATGCTAAAGAAGACCAAGGTGAACACACACATCATTCTCGCCCGCAGCCAGGTGGATGTTCATGAAAATATTTTCCTAAAAATGTAGGGAGATATATTGAACCATATTAGTACAAAATATTATTTTGTGTTAATAAAATTTCAAAATTGTGTTATATTTTCCTTAGTTTTTTGTATATTTTCTGTCCTAAAGAGCCTATATATTATTTTATTTTACTTTATTTCATTTCACAGTGATATTTCATCATTAAAGAAAAGATCTAAAGCAATAGATATGTCAATATAACACAGTTTATCAATGTTGAGATTTATTTTGCATAATTTGAAATTTTCAGCACGTTTAAATGTAAAATTGGTAATTTTCATACCTTAAGCTACCTACATGGCACTGCTATCATGCATTTTTGTGGTCAGAGGGCGTGTCTGTTTTGAAAAATAAACATTAGAATTGGTGCCCTTTTTGATACCAATTTTCTGCCCGCCTCACGGACTAGTAGCCCAAGACTGGTTTCCCACTTAAGCTGAGCAGGGTTGAGTCTGTCAGCACCTGGATGGGAGACTCCTGGGAAAACCAGGTTGAGGCCAGCAGGGGGCGCTGCTCACCCTGTGGTCTGTGTGGGTCCTAACGCCCCAGTATAGTGATGGGGACACTATACTGTCAAAAAAAGCACTGTCCTTCAGATGAGACGTTAAATCGAAGTCCTGACTCTCCAGTTGTGATTGAGGAGAGACCATATGTACAGTATTGTACAGTAGTACATTATAAAAAGCGCTTTATAAATGCTTGATCCATCCATTGTGATAACACCTTTATGCCTAATTCTGAAACAAATGCAGCAAACATAAACAAAACAAATTCCTTCGGGCAATAAAGGGGTGCAGAGGTGACGTCAGACCCCGGAGGGTTAATTCGCTGCTGGTTCCTTCAAAATTATTTCCTATGGGGTTTTGTAATGAGGTTTTTCAATTTGCGAGTAAAATAAAAGTCTGTGGTAAACATAACTTGATGATACTAAACTGCACATCTGAACAACACGGAAACATCCAGGATTCAGCTAATAATCTCGAGATACCATAATATATCCTACAAAATTTGTTAAGTTCTAGATGTGTATTAGTTTGCCAGCACAATGCTTGCAATATATAACTGTAACACTGGATGTCAGCACAGTCTTTCTACGATTCCCTGAACACCTAATATCCTCCAGTCTTTTATAAACACTAAATCACAAAAAACTAACTATTTATAACAATAGGTACATTATGTTAAATTTCAGTTTCAACAAAAAAAGTTTAACTGATGCCTTTTAAAATGAAAACTAATGCTAGGTTTATTTTAAAATGTTTGATGGGGCATCAAAATAATTTATAACATTCCATGCTGCCTCAAGCAAGAAATGATTGGAAATCTGAATTTGAAAATGAAATGCTCAATCAAACACATAATCCATTACAAACATTGGTCATCCATTTCTTGCTATGATAATTTTTCAGATAAATTTTTTCTTTTTTAAATAATTATTTCTTTAGGTCATGTGCAATCTATAAAATAGTTCCTTCAGAAATTGTGTTCATACTACTTTTAAAAAGCAAGAGTGTTTGCAATTTCCAGTCCTATTTTTGTTCATACCTTTTGAAACATTCTAAAAAAGAAAAAAGGGAGAAAAAAAATATATATATATATATAATCCGAGTGTGGGATAAAAGCAAAGACAATATATGCTACTATTTATGTTTTAGAAGTTTGCAGATTTTTATATACAGTATGGATTAACCAAATAATTCCCATTATTACATTTATCAAAATGTGCTGAATCAGAGCAAACTGTGAGATATTAACTGGACGTCACTTAGGACAAAAGGCATTCTTTCTAGGCAGTATATAGCGGTATACAGAATATACAGCACAGCAATGTCTGGATAGTGTGATCTATATACTCAAATATAGGAGTTTTATGATCAGTGCTTATGCCAGACAGAGGCTTGCAAAGTGACAGTTTTATCCAACTAGAAAATAAATAGTTCATCTCTGCTTCGGATTCCAGATGGATAAAGAGGAGCAAGTGAGGAAGATCAAGTCGAGACACAATGAAGAGCTGGTGTCTCTGCTGGGACACTTCCCAAGCAAGAGAGAGCTGGAAGACTGGATCCACTCCAAAACCAGAGAGATCAACTCCACCAGAGAACGGCTCAGCAAAATGAAGTCTGTCACACTTTGATTCGCTTTTCTGCAAACGTTTATTACAATAAGCTAGAGAATGCCATACATGATGATATTCAGTGCGAGGGCCTTTAATGTGTCATGCAGTTCTAATCATAATTTTAATGTCTCTACGGCCTCGTTTACGCTGTCAGTGAAATGTGACCCAATTCCGATTTTTTACTCGTATGCGACACAGATCGGATGTGTTCTATGACAGTGTAAACAGGAAAAAAACGCATGCATTCGGATATTTCGAGATCGGTTTCAGGCCTCGTTCATATGTGGAAATAAATCAGATGTAAATCGGATATGTGCCAATGCGACTGTCATGTAAACAGGCAGATCGGATTTTCCGAGGCATTAGGCTGCGTCTCCGCGGTTTAATGACGAGAGAAACCCCGACGCGCATCTGCAGATGGACGGATGGCCCGACGAAACATTGTGTCGTCGTAGGAGAGGAATGTGGACACACGTTGACACAACATATCAAAGGTTGGCTTGCTCATCCTAAAATTTCGGACCCACTGCTCCTCGTTAAAGCCCGCCACGATCTCATGAAAGTGTGTTTATTGCACGATTTTTTTTTTCACGTGGCATTTACGCCAAAAATAGTTTTTGCATGCATGATATGCACTTTATGGCGTTTAATACGCACGTTTACAGTGCATATCATATGCAAGCAAAAACTATTTTTGCCGTATAAATGGCATGAGAAATAAAATTTGTGCTATAGATACTCACTTTTATGAGATCATGTTCCCACCTGTCCTGAGATCTCGCTGCGCGTTCGTCCATCTAAGCAAGACCCCTTTAAACATGCGCGATGTTTCAGTCAAGTGTAAACACATGACTCGGATATGGGTCACAATTTAAAGAACGTGTAAAGAGACGGTAAAAAAAATCGGATATAGGCAACAAATCAGAATTGGGCATCAAGACCTGCAGTGTAAACGAGGCCTACGTGATAAGCGACATACACACATGCATTGAAACTGATGTCACAGAAAATACTGGCCTTTGTACAACCACCCACATACTTAAATCTTATACATATTTGGTTTCGATTCTGAGTTCCTGAGGAACAGGTCACCTTCAGGTCAGTAGTGTTCAAAGGGTGACGTTTAGCTTACACAGACATGTCTGATATAGGGCTGTCTAGCAAATATGGCAGAAATGACTTGCACTTGTAGTAGTGTACATAAACTGTTCGTAAGTTCACACACATCAATAAAAAACATGTTTATGTGTAAAATAATATCGGAGAATGTACAATTTTCCAAATGCTGTATTTGCACAATAAAATGTAATTATTCTCCAACTTACTCTAACTTTAACAGTGCTGAAATAATTCCCAATAAATGTTAATACATACTTTGCAGCCTTCAGATAAATGAACTAGCATTACTAGACAAGACTTTTTTATTTTTCGTAGTAAGGAGCTTGCATCTGGAGAACAGAAGAAGACTCACTTCATGGCAGAAATCAAACGTAAGGAAGAGCAGCTGGTCAACTATGAAGAGCGACTCTTCAACGTGTGCGGCAGTCAGGACTTCCAGTCGGACCTGAGCAAACTGGAGGATGAGCTGGAGAAGTCTTCTAAACAGAGAGGTCTGGTCACGCTGATGCTCTCACCAAACATTTCAGATCCACACTAAAATACAGGTGAAACTCGAAAAATTAGAATATCGTGCAAAAGTTCATTTATTTCAGTGATTCTACTTAAAAGGTGAAACTGATATATTATATAGACTCATTACATGCGAAGTGAGATATTTTTCAAGCCTTTATTTGTTATAATTTTGATGATTATGGCTTACAGCTTATGAAAACCTTTTCACAATATTCTAATTTTGAATTTGGGGTTTTCATAAGCTGTAAGCCATAATCATCAAAATTATAACAAATAAAGGCTTGAAATATCTCACTTTGCATGTATTGAGTCTATATTTCACTTTATGTCAGTTTCACCTTTTAAGTTGAATTAGTGAAGTTAATGAACTTTTGCACGATATTCTCATTTTTTTAGTTTCACCTGTATACATTCTGTGCTCATTTTGTAGGTAAATCTTCAGAATAATGCACAAAATCATATACATTTGGTAGAAAATGCTAATATAATGGATAAATCGTACATGAACCCATTAGGGTCGAGGGACACGTTTTGTGTATGATGGCCTTTGAATTCTGCTGAAGTCTTTGAAGCTTTTCAGATGCAGATTCTGTGTGGGCCTGCTTGACGGTAAATTACTGTTTATTGGTAAACCGGATATAGACTTCTTTTATGCCAAGTATGGCAATGACTGTTGATATGAAGTATCAAACTGGGACCCACACAGCTGAGTTTATGTAGTCCACAGCAGTTACACAACCAAGTATGTGTGCGAATTCAGAACATCCCTGGTTTTCTCAGTCTTCCGTGTTTTGAAATGTGATTATCGGAACTGTTGGGAAAAGTTACTTTGAAAAGTAATGCATTACAATATTGCGTTACTCCCTTAAAGGTGCTCTGTGATGTTGGGTGACGTCACTTCTTGCTGACGTTCAAAGTATTGTCAAACAAAACGGAGGCTGATTGTTACATTACTTTTGCGTTACTTTTTTTGCTCCTGGGCTGGGCTTGTTTTTTTAATAACAAAAAAGTTATATTTTTGGGCAAATGTAAAGACCCTTTAACACCAAAAGTGAAATAATAAGCCTCAGGCTGAAGGAAATGCAAATTCACGTGTGTACAGTAGAGGGCGCAGCTCAAACAAATCAAAGCTCTGCTGCCATTTCTGGATAACAGAAGAATAAGATGCAGGAGAAAAAAGTTTAACACTTACTTTAACCAATAAAAACAAAAAAATCTATCGTCATTTTTGCTTATGGTTTAACTGATTCATCAAAGGTCAGAAGTACATTGGTCAATAAAGTGAGATTAAATGCATGAAAATTTGTTTTATTAAACATATTTAGTTATTAAAGATTTGCATAGTATTCTGATTCTGCATTTCACCGATTTTATTCATTTTGATGAATATTTAATATTTTTTGTGCAAGTGAGATGAGTAAATGCACACATTTAGTCTAGAACTACAATGAGCATCATATTCACACACAACGCCTCTGCACTTACTCATGATTCTCTCAACATGGGGACAGGAGAGATGTCAGTCAATAAATGGGAAAACAAAGTAACTTGCGTTACTTATTTGAAAAAGTATTTTAAAAGTAATGCCTTACTTTACTAGTTACTTGAAAAAGTAATCTGATTATGTAACTCAAGTTGCTTGTAATGAGTTCCCCCCCGACGCTGATTCTCGGTGTCTTTGTGTCTTCTCTTGGCAGCCATGCTGGCGGGCGCCACCGCCGTGTACAGTCAGTTCATCAGTCAGCTGACGGAGGAGGGCGAGCCCTGCTGTCCCGTGTGTCAGCGCGTGTTCCCCTCAGAGGCCGAGCTCCAGGACGTCATTAATGACATGCAGTCCAAGCTGAGGCTCGTCCCAGACAAACTGAAGAACACCGAGCAGGACCTGAAGAGAAAAGAGCGCAGGCGTGATGAAATGATGGCACTGAAGCCCATCAGGCAATAACAGTTTTCTGTCACTCTATTTATCTTTCTGTCCATTACTCAATCTGTTTATCACTTTAACTATCCATCCTTTACTTCATGTTTATACATCCATCTTTTACTTCACATATCCATCCGTCTATCCATCATCCATCCTCCTGTTTACCCCTTCATTCCCCATCCATCCACCTGTTTACTCCTTCATTCTTCCATTCATCCATCCGTCCACGTTTACTCCTTCATTCTTCCATCCATCCATCCATCTGTCCACCTATTTACCCCTTCATTCCCCCATCCTGCCATCCATCCATCTGTTCACCTATTTACCCCTTCATTCCCCATCCATCCATCTGTCCACCTGTTTACCCCTTCATTCCCCATCCATCCATCTGTCCACCTGTTTACCCCTTCATTCCCCCATCCTTTCATCCATCCATCCACCCACCTGTTTACTCCTTCATTCCCCTATCCTTCCATCAATCCATCCTTCCATCTGTCCACCTGTTTACCCCTTCATTCCCCATCCATCCACCTGTTTACTCCTTCATTCTTTCATTCATCCATCTGTCCACGTTTACTCCTTCATTCTTCCATCCATACATCCATCCATCTGTCCACCTATTTACCCCTTCATTCCCCCATCCTGCCTTCCATCCATCTGTTCACCTGTTTACTCCTTCATTCCCCTATCCTTCCATCAATCCATCCTTCCATCTGTCCACCTGTTTACTCATTTCATTCCCCCATCCTGCCATCCATCCATCTGTTCACCTATTTACCCCTTCATTCCCCCATCCTTCCATCTGTCCACCTGTTTACCCCTTCATTCCCCATCCATCCATCTGTCCACCTGTTTACCCCTTCATTCCCCTATCCTTCCATCAATCCATCCTTCCATCTGTCCACCTGTTTACCCCTTAATTCCCCATCTATCCATCCACCCACCTGTTTACTCCTTCATTCCCCTATCCTTCCATCAATCCATCCTTCCATCTGTCCACCTGTTTACCCCTTAATTCCCCATCCTGCCATCCATCCATCCATCCATCTGTCAACCTGTTTACCCCTTCATTCCCCCATCCTTTCATCCATCCATCCATCCGTCCACCTGTTTACTCCTTCATTCCACCATCTATCCATCCACCCACATGTTTACTCCTTCATTCCCCCATCCATCCATCCGTCCACATGTTTACTCCTTCATTCCCCCATCCATCCATCCATCCATCCACCCACATGTTTACTCCTTCATTCCCCCATCCATCCATCCGTCCACATGTTTACCCCTTCATTCCCCGCACCCATTCATCCGTCCACATGTTTACCTCTTCATTCCCCCATCCATCCATCGTAAACAGGTGGACACCTGTTTACTCCTTCATTCCCCCATCCTTCCATCCATCCACCAGTTTACCCCTCCATCCATCTATCCACCCCTTATATTGATATTGATATTGATGAATAATTTTTGTATTGACAGGCATTCCATAGTGGAGCTGCAGGAGAAAGAGCTGCCAGAGCTCAGAAATAAACTCCAGCGTGTGAACCGAGACATTGAGAAGCTGAAAGGAGACACTGAGGAGCAGGAGACGCTGCTGGGCACACTGATGTCTGAGGAAGACACAGCCAAGGCCTGTCTGCAGGACGTCTCCCTCATGGATCGCTTTCAGGTCTTAGCTCATCTCCAGCAAGCCCAAACACAGAAAATAAAATCCAGTAACATGCAGCACGTCAGAACAACACAACATATACTTAAAGACTTATTTATTTATCACATAGAAGAGTCAGAACACTGCAGTTTTGTGATTCTTATTAAATAAACACAATACTGCAAGTTTATTATTTACTTAATCTCAAGTTTTCTGAAGTCATATAGTAGCTTTATAAAGAGCAGAGCAAAAGTGGTTATCCGGCTGTAAAGGTGCACAATGCAGGATCTTCAGTTACTTAATCTTGGCCCCTCCTTGCCCTCTCCCCTGTCATGAGATATATCAGTTGCACACGCAGCCGAACGACTCAAGAGAATACCAGCGGGAACATGAGCGATGAGCTGTTTTGTTCATTACATTTTCAAATATTGTGTTTATCATGCATAAATAGCATTGTGTATACAAAAGAACAGTTACGTTAATAGTTAGATGACTGCTTGTAATTTGCGAGCTAGTTTAGTCATCATTAGTCTAGCTCACTAATAAGCAATAATTCCGTGTCATCATAAAAGCATAAGTATAATGCCTAGTATTCTGACGGGTTACAGATAGATGTTAACAAGGCAATAGAAACAGACCGGACAGCTTAGCCGAGCTTCAGACTCACATGATAAAGTCCCGCCCTCACCTGTGCCCAGCATCATCATTGTTGATTATAAATATAGGCAGTAGTGTATCTGTAGACACAAACACCACTGCACACTTCTAGTGGACCATAAATAGTGATTGAGAGGCATTATTTTTATTTTATTTACTTTTTTGAAAATCCTGCATAAGTGCACCTTTAAGTCTGATGTCATACTTTATAGTTTCCAGGTTCAAATCCTCCTTTAGATCCCAAAAGCAAACAAACTGTGCTAATATACACTCCTGGTGTGCTGAACTACTACCTAAAGAAATCATGATCCTAACCTTTATCTCCATAGAAATCTTAGTTGGCCAGACATTGATTCATTTTTTTATGAATCATTAAAATATTGGTGTCCGGGACAGAGTCCAGAGAACGTAGGGGAGACCCTTGTATTTTATTTTATTTTTTTTAAAGCTTAGTTTAAAGGTGTGCTATAAATAGTTCTCATAAATGGCTTTATATATATATATATATATATATATATATATTATTCTCACTTGAAATAGAGTATAAACTTGGAGTGAGTAATCGATGTGTCACAACTTGACAAGCAATATTTTTATTGAACTGTGGGTAATCAGAATGTTTCCTGTCATATGTAGCTTGACCTGAAGGATGTGGAGAGAAAGATCGCTCAGCACGCAGCCAAGCTTCAGGGAGTTGACCTCAGCCGAACCATGACGCAGGTCAGCCAGGAGAAACAAGAGACCCAACACCGCCTGGACACCAGTACGTTCAGCTCTTTATGTAGAATACAAAACACTTTTTGTGAATCTCAATGTACATTCCTGTTCAAAAGCTTGGGGTCTGTAAGAGTTTTTGAAAGAAGTCTCTTCTGCTCACCAAGGCTGCATTTATTTGATCAAAAATATGAGGAAAAATATTACAATTTACAATGTTTTCTGTTTTAATATATACATGTATAATAGTGTAATTTACTCCAGTGATGCAAAGCTGAATTTTCAGCATCATTAGTCCGGTCTTCAGTGTCACATGATCCTTCAGAAATCATTCTGATATGCTGATTTGACACTGCTTAAAACAGTTTTGCACTTTTTTCAGGAGTCTTTATGGATAGAAAGTTCAAAAGAACAGCATTTCAAACAATCATAATATTTTGTAATATAATAAATGTGTTTACTGTCAATTTTAATCAGTTTTTAATTAGTATTTTATCTGAATAAAAGCATTAATTTCTTTAAAAAAAAATCTTACTGACCCCAAACTTTTCAATGGTCATGTACATAAATTTAAAAATGTGTCATTTGTTCTTTGATGTTCTTATATTATATTTATATAAATTTTAATCTTTTGAAATTGTATATCTTAGGTGGGCTACTATAGATAGATAGACACCTACACTACTTAGACTACACTACACTACCAATAAGGATTAAGCTTAAATGTAGATTAAATCAAGGTGTATCTAATAATTCTATTGCACCAAACTTTAAAAAAAAAATCCAGACTTTCATTTAAACTCATTTTGATCCTGGTTTTATTTTACATTTAAGATAGATTAACTTAGATTAAACAATCTTGTTGCTCCATTACTTTAAACTCTGATTTAAATCTCAATTAGGCATCAACTTTAAACTTAAACTAGAAAAAGTTTGTCGAGACAAACTTTAAGTTGGCTTGTGAAAGTTTGGACCGCAAAGTTTGAAGAAGTTTAAATTAGTTTGAAGTTTAAATTAGTTCAAAGTAGTTTATAGTTTAACTTAGTTTAAAGTTTAAAGTAGTTTAAATTAATTTAAAGTTTAAATTAGTTTGAATTTTAAAGTAGTTTGAAGTTTAAATTAGTTTGAAAGTTAAAGTAGTTTAAAGTTTAAATAAGTTTGAATTTTAAAGTAGTTTGAAGTTTAAATTAGTTTAAAGTAGTTTAAAGTTTTAAATAGTTTAAAGTTCAAAGTAGTTTAAAGGTTAAAGTATAGTTTCAAGTAATTAAATGTTGCTAGGGTGTTTCTAGTGGGTTGCTAAGGTGTTGTGGGTGGTTGCTAGGTGGTTTCTAAGGTATTTTGAGTGGTTGCTAGGGTGTTCTGGGTGGTTGCTAGGGTGTTCTAGGGTATTTTAGGTGGTTGCTATGGTGTTGCTAGGGTGTTTTAAGGTATTTTGGGTGGTTGCTAGGGTGTTGCTAGGGTGTTCTAAGGTATTTTGGGTGGTTGCTATGGTGTTGCTAGGGTGTTCTGAGGTATTTCGGGTGGTTGCTAGGGTGTTGCTAGGGTGTTCTAAGGTATTTTTGGTGGTTGCTAGGGTGTTGCTAGGGTGTTCTAAGGTATTTTGGGTGGTTGCTATGGTGTTGCTAGGGTGTTCTAAGTTATTTTGGGTGGTTGCTAGGGTGTTCTAAGGTATTTTGGGTGGTTGCTAGGGTGTTGCTAGGGTGTTATAAGGCATTTTGGGTGGTTGCTAGGGTGTTCTAAGGCATTTTGGGTGGTTGCTAGGGTGTTGCTAGGGTGTTCTAAGGTATTTTTGGTGGTTGCTAGGGTGTTGCTAGGGTGTTCTAAGGTATTTTGGGTGGTTGCTATGGTGTTGCTAGGGTGTTCTAAGTTATTTTGGGTGGTTGTTAGGGTGTTCTAAGGCATTTTGGGTGGTTGCTAGGGTGTTGCTAGGGTGTTCTAAGGTATTTTGGGTGGTTGCTAGGGTGTTGCTAGGGTGTTCTAAGGTATTTTTGGTGGTTGCTAGGGTGTTCTGGGTGGTTGCTAGGGTGTTCTAAGGTATTTTGGGTGGTTGCTAGGGTGTTCTGGGTGGTTGCTATGGTGTTGCTATGGTGTTCTAAGGTATTTTGGGTGGTTGCTAGGGTGTTGCTAGGATGTTCTGATGTATTTCGGGTGGTTGCTAGGGTGTTGCTAGGGTGTTCTAAGGTATTTTGGGTGGTTGCTATGGTGTTGCTAGGGTGTTCTAAGGTATTTTGGGTGGTTGCTAGGGTGTTGCTAGGGTGTCATAAGGCATTTTGGGTGGTTGCTAGGGTGTTCTAAGGTATTTTGGGTGGTTGCTAGGGTGTTCTGGGTGGTTGCTAGGGTGTTCTAAGGTATATTATGTGGTTGCTAGGGTGTTCTAAGGTATTGTGGGTGGTTGCTATGGTGTTGCTAGGGTGTTCTAAGGTATTTCAGTTGGTTTCTAGGGTGTTCTGGGTGGTTGCTATGCAGTTGCTAGAGTGTTCTGGGTGTTTGCTATGGTGAACTATTTATGAGTTTAAAAGTTCATAAGTGTATGAATTCATGAGAGTTCATACGTGTATGAATTAATGCATTTATAAGTTCATGAGTTTATAAGTGTATGAATTTATGAGTTTAGAGTTTATAAGTTTAAATGAGTAAGAGTTCAGAGTTTATTAATTTATGAGTTTGAGTTCATAAGTGTATGAATTCATGAGTTTATAAGTGTATGAGTTTATAAGTGTACGAGTTTATGAGTTTAAAGTTTAAATTAGTTTGAAGTTTAAAGTTTAAATAAGTTTGAAGTTTAAAGTTTAAATAAGTTTGAAGTTTAAATTAGTTTGAAGTTTAAAGTTTAATTTAGTTTGAAGTTTAATTTAGTTTAAAGTAGATAGATAGATGGATAAGTGTCATAGATAGATGAGTTTATTAGTTTGAATGAGTCTCATTGGCTCATATAGTGTATAGAATGGCAGTTTGATTCAGTCTAGGGTTTCAAGGGATTTACATTTGAATTTTTGACAGTTGGGGAGTTTGAAAATCTGAAGATTCCGCAATGTAAAGTCAATGGGAGTTTTTCCGACTTTGATCGTCATTTTTAGGAAAACCGTAAGTCCGATCAGTTAGAAAAGATATAGCATACCGAGTCAGAACAGTTTGAGTGTCCGTGCCGAGTTTGGAGTATGTGGAGTTAAAGCTCTAGGAGGAGTAGCAGTTGTAAATTTTGAGTAAGAAGAATAATAATAATACTAGAATGTACATTTCCAGAAGAAAATGTGAAGTGGTGCTTGCAGTGGCAAAACTCGCCGCTCGGTTGCTAGAGTGTTGTACATGATTGCATACAAGCCAACAACCATGTCTGTACGATTTTCTGGTGCAGAGATATGGCTTATTCATGTGTTCAGGTGGTTACTAGGGTACTCTATATGGTTGCTATGGTGTGCTTATACAGTTTATGAGATGATATTTAAAGACTAGTTGACAGTCTAAGTAAAAAAATCCAAACTCCATGTTTCTATTATTTTCTGGAGCTGAAATATGGCTTGGAAATGTAGTTTTATGGTTGCTAGGGTGCCCTAATTGGTTGCTAGGGCGTGAATATGAAGGTAATATGTCACTACTTATTGGCTGCTTGATAGGCTGAGTCAAAAGAGCCCAACCCCAAGTCTCTATGACCTTCTGGTCAAAAGATATGATCTCACAAATTTTGTGCCAATGTTAAGTCTATGGGACTTTTTTCGGCCAATTTATCGCCCGCCGGACGAACATCGTACAACCGATCGCTTAGAAAAGACATAGCACACCTCTCCTCAATGAACCGGTCGATTTGACACCTCATTCATGTGTCTACGACAAAACGTGCGGGAGGAGTAGCGCGCCGAAGTTTTGTCTTGGTGAATAGTAATCACAACACTAGAATGTACATTTCCAGAAGAAAATGTGAAGTGGTGCTTGCAGTGGCAAAACTCGCCGCTCGGTTGCTAGGTTGTTGTACATGATTTCATACGAGCCAACAACCATGTCTGTACAATATTGTGGAGCTGAGATATGGCTTATACATGTGTTTGTATGGTTACTAGGGTACCCTATATGGTTGCTATGGTGTGCTTATACAGTTTATGAGATGATATTTAAAGACTAGTTGACAGTCTGAGTCAAAAAAGGCAAACTCCATGTTTCTTCTATTTTCTGGAGCTGAGATATGGCTTGAATATGTTGTTTTATGGTTGCTAGGCTGCCCTAAGTGGTTGCTAGGGCGCGAATATGAAGTTATTATGTCACTACTTATTGGCCGCTTGATAGGGCGAGTCAAAAGAGCCCAACCCCAAGTCTCTATGACCTTCTGGTCAAAAGATATGATCTCTCAAATTTTGTGCCAATGTTAAGTCTATGGGACTTTTTTCAGCCAATTATTTGCCCCTGGGGCAAACACCGTACCCCCGATCGGTAAGAAAAGTCACAGCACACCTCTCCTCAATAATCCGCACAATTTGACGCCTCACTCAGGGGTCTGTGATGTCGGCATGTATTTATTTACAGATAATTACTATGGAGTTTTATATGGAGTTTTTATAGAGTTTTTATAGAGATATTTAGTATGGCCTACGGTTCCTAGGGTGCTGTAACTGGTTGCTATGGTGTGGCTATGAAGATGTTAGGCCATTACTTATTGGCTGCTTGATAAAATAAATCCTCTGAGGGAGAGAGAGAGGGCCTGACAGCAGGGCTGTCAGGCCCTTTTCTGTGGGTGTGTGTGAAAGTGGCAGTTGAGATTTAAATTTCTGAAAATTCCGCAATGTTAAGTCAATGGGATTTTTTTGGCCGCTTTTTCGTCCGCTGTGCGAACATCGTACACCCGATCTCTTAGAAAAGTCATAGCACACCTCTCCTCAATGAGCCGGTCGATTTGACGCCTCACTCAGGTGTGTGTGACAAAAGCTGCGGGAGGAGTAGCGCGCCAAACTTTGTGTGGAATAATAAGAATAACTAGAATGTACATTTCCAGAAGAAAATGTGAAGTGGTGCTTGCAGTGGCAAAACTCGCCGCTCGGTTGCTAGGGTGTTCTTGGAGTT